AAAAAAAAAAAAAAAATAATAAGTGTGAAATTGTCAGCTAACCAACATCAAATACAAAAGAATTAGAGGCATTTTTCAAAAGGATTATGCACAATTATATTATATTACAGAAAAAATGGTACAAACAAATTAAATGAGAACAATTCATAGCATCCATAATGTTTTGTGTTCAATCTCATAAAATTATGAATAAAGCTACTTGTACAATTATTTTGTACAATTATTTTGTACAACATGATGTGTCATCATGTAGATAATTGAGATCTAAAAAAATGTGTGGCTAAGATTTGTTCAATGATTGTGATAACTAGTATTGTCAACTAATGTTGTCAACACTAGTTGTACATGTAGCATGACCCAAAAAAAATACCCGACCTATCCTTATATGTCATATAGCAAAGACTAAACCCAATGCATCGTACATGATTAAGAAAGAAGAAAGAAAACCAAACCTCAACCCGAAAGAAAACCAAACCTCAACCTCTTCACCCGTCATCAATTTGGTTGGTTCACCAAACTTAACAAAGACCCCCCAATGGGTTTGTCTCTCTATGTCCATCTCTTTGTTCTCTCTCCACTTGCGCGCTAAACCATCACCTACACCGCCGTTGACCTCCGTCTCCTCTCCCGATGGCCCCCCGCCACCGAAAGCTACTGAACGCATCCGCCGATGACCCGTTCCTCACCAACTTTTGCCAGAACGACTGCAACGCCGATGGAAACCCGGATGGACTCTGTTCAATCAAGTGCGTAGATTATTGCCCCTCCGTCTGCAAAACCATATTCTTCGACATCCCGCCGCCTCCTCCTCCCTCCGTCATCCAAGGCGGCCCGCCGGGAAAATCCCACCGCCTCTCCCTCCTCCTCACCGCCTCCCTCGCCGCCCTCGCCGCCGCCTTCTTCCTCTTCACCTGCTACACGATCTACCGGCTCTACTCCAACTGGCGCACTTCCCGCCGCCGCCGCCAGCAGGAGGGCGACGCCGGGCCGATCGATCTCCTCGACCTCGGGCCCGCCGTCGATCACCCCATATGGTACATCCGGACTGTCGGGCTCCAGCCGTCAGTAATCGGCGCAATTACTGTCGTCAGATTCAAAAAGGGCGAAGGCTTAATCGACGGCTCGGATTGCTCCGTGTGCCTGAACGAGTTTGAGGAGGATGAGACTGTGAGGCTTCTTCCCAAGTGCAATCACGCGTTCCACGTGCCGTGTATTGATACCTGGCTTAGGTCCCACACCAATTGCCCCCTGTGCCGGGCCGGAATCCTGAGCAATCCGGCTGTTCTACCCTCACAGACCCAAAATTCTCAGATTCCCGGCCCGGGACCAGTGGAGGAAGCTCAGGGATTATCAGGGAGGATTAGCAGGAGAGTAGTTGCAATGGTGGAATTAGAAAGTGAGTCTTCGGAGTCGAGGATTGGGATTGTGAGTCGAGATGAGACTCTATCAAGGTCTCAAAACTGGCCCAAAGCTAATGAAGAAGGGTTATTAGATGGGATTCAGCTTATGAGAAGATCAATCTCTGTGGATTCCTTATCTGTCATGGCCAATACTTTTCCGGATAGAAATCTAGATAGTCGGTTGTTAGTTGAGTCGAAAAAATCGAAATGTGGGGTGGTTGGATCTAACCGGAGTTTGTTGAGATTAGTTGGGAGTCGGTCGATTGAGAGGCCTACACAAACCGGGCCTTCTTCTATCAAGAGATCCCTTTCGTGTAGCGCGAATGTGTTTATTTCTCGAGGGAACCGGAATTGAGCCGCTCGATTATGGGAGATATCTCAAGAGATTGATTTCTCAAGAACAAAGAAAATGTACGAGTCTTTTGGTTTTTTATACGAGTCGTTCGGTTATAGTTTTGTGCACAAGTTAATAAAACGATGGTCGTGTGTAAGGAAATTGGGATGCCTAGACAAAGGATAGGCCTCTTGAGTGGCCATCTATTCAGCAAGTAAATTGTAAGTAGAAGTTTTGGCATATTACCCTGATGAAAGTTGTGGTGCCATTTGATCTGTATGTGATATGTATTAAACAGTTTACTTCTGCAATTTTAGTTTCTTTTTGAAGATGGTGTTTGTTTGGATCTATTTTACAATTGTGATTTTGTTGCTAAATACAGGTGAATGTTAAATATTGTCTGGGTTTCTAAATGAGTGCTTGATGCCAAGTGATGTGAATTTTTAAGGTTTGCCTCTTTTGTATGAATAAATTAAGTTGTGAGCTGCATGAATTTACATTGACCCTTTTATGGGGAAATTCCATGACCATTCTTGCAAGGTATCTCGTTCGGGAGCCGAGCTTTGGGGCCTCCTTCAGGGGCTTCTTTTGGCGTGGGAGTTGGGATATCGATAAGTTATTGCTGAAATTGATAGCCAATGTGTTAGTAAAATGGTATCTCGTTCGGATGGTTGTTTTGGCGCTCATGAAGCGATGGTTCAGGCTATCAGCGATTTAATCCAAAGAAACTGGGATGTTAGAGTTCAACATGTCCATAGAGAAGCGAGCGAATTTCGCTACTGATCATATTGCGAGCCTAACGGTCTCCTATCCGCCTGGCCTGCATCGAGCTTCGTCACCGTCTAGAGGATTAGGAGCATGATAACATTGGGGTGTCTTATTCCCGACAAGTGCTAGCATAGGCCTTCGACCTCCTTCTTTGTACCGAAAAAATATATATATATATATATATTTATATATATATATATATAAATTTTACTCTGTGAAAACAATAATTCTGCGGGTTTTATACAGCTCCAGATAGAAGAAACTTGAATATGTAGGCCACGTAAAGGATATTTTGAGATCATTATAAGTGGACAACATCAACTTGTTTTCTTCACACACTTATCCAAACTCAGAGAGACGAGAGATAGTCAGAGAGAGAGATGGCAGCAATTGCAGCAGCAGCAGCCACCATTACAAGTGTGAAGCAGCTTTCAGAGTCACCTGATCTCGAATCTATACCGCCTAACTACGCTTACTACACGAATCCTACGGATACAATTGCTTCAGACTCGGCTGACTGTCCGATTCCCATACTCGATCTCTCACTACTCACCTCAGACGAACCCCAACACAGGTCCCGAGCCGTACAGGCCCTGGACAAAGCCTGTCGAGAATGGGGCTTTTTCATGGTACCCAACTAACTAGCTAAACCAAACACTAATTAATGTTAGTTATATAACTATGAATGCTGTAAAAATATCATTTGTAGGTGGTGAATCATGGAATACCAGAAGCGGTCACGAGAGGTATTCTCGAGGTGACGAGGGAATTTTTCGATCTCCCGGAGGAAGAAAAGCCCGAATTTCAGCCCAAGAATGTTTTGGACCCGATTCGATACGGGACGAGCTTCAACACTGCCAAAGAGGAGGTATTTTGCTGGAGGGACTTCTTGAAGGTTTTCGTGCATCCCCACTTTCATTGCCCTCGTAAACCCGACTCTCTAAGGTATATTTTCAAATACAATTAGTATAACGAAATATATCTTATCAACATCTTATTAAAACACATGTACTTGTAGAGAATTATTGCTGGAATACTGCGAAAGAACTCGAGATATAGTGAGGAAACTGGTAAGAGCAATATCAGAGAGCCTGAGCCTCCAAGAGAAGGAGATGGAGCGGGCTTTGGATTTGGACTCGACTCTACAGATTTTCATCGCGAACTTGTACCCGAGATGCCCGAATCCAGAAATGGCCATGGGCATGCCGTCTCACTCGGATCACGGGCTTTTCACGCTCCTTATAGAGAACCGAGTGAGCGGCCTGCAAATACAACACCAAGGCAAATGGATCAATGTAAATGCACTTCCCAACTCCATTTTGGTCAACACAGGCGATCATCTTGAGGTGAATTAACCATTTCATATTATTATAAGCTAAGCTGTTGTATCATAATCCTCATTCTCTTAGTTTTGTTTTGTTTTGTTTTGCAGATATTCAGCAACGGTAGGTACAAGAGCGTGGTGCATAGAGCTGTGGTGAACAATCAAAAGACGAGGATTTCCATAGCCATGGCCAACGGCCCGTCACCCGAGACAGTGGTGAGCCCGGCTACGAGCGTCCTGCGGTCCGATGGTTGTGTGCCGGCTTATGTTCCGATGAAGTACAAGGATTACCTGCTGTCACAGCAGAGTAACCAGCTCAAAGGAAAATCAGTCCTGAAAAATGTTCAGATACAAGGCCAGTGATAATGTCCAGTTTGGTCTAGTTATGAAAACAAGTTGTTCCAATTGATCAGAATGTTATTTTGGGTTGCAGCGACAATATTTGATTTCAGAGTTTTTCACTGTTAAAAACAATTAATGCTTATTTGGTTGTTATAATTAATACTCATTAGTTATTAGTTGCTAGTTAAAAAAAGATCAATGATGTCGGCTGAAACCACCGACTTGTGGTGGCTATATATCGGTTTTGATATGAAGTCAACAGTTGGCTCTATAGTGGAGCCAACCTTCTATATACAACAATTGAATCTACCATACAACAAAATTGGCTTCATTATGGAGCCAACTGTTGGCTTCATAGCAAAATCGAGTTATATATATGTACTCATATTGTGGAAATTGAAATGCAAGGAAAAATCACTCCAAACTCTTAACTTCCATCAGCTATTATACAAATTATATTCACTAACCATTTTTACATTAAAAAAACTCAACACATAAATAGCATTTAAATCTTTCTCCTATTTACACTATTGTACAAACTATTAAGATACCAACAGTAGTATCAGAGCCCGGTTAGATCAATAGCTGGAAGAAATTATTTTCACATATTCTTCTACTTTCATATAGCCTACTAAATTTCTGAAATGGTCACTTCTCAAAACACCATCAAATACCAATTCCTATTTTCTCTGGCGAAAATTATAACTATTGGGTCATTAAAATGAGAACATATTTTATGCCTCAAGGCCTATGGAATATTGTCGAGAACGGGTATACTATCCCCGATGATATATCCACTTTGCCTACGACAGACAAAGAAAAATTCGACCGAGAGAAGGAGAAAGACAGGTTGGCTCTCTTCACACTACAAATGGCCATGACGGAGTCCCTGTTTTCAAGAATTAGCAGAGCACAGACATCAAAGGAGGCGTGAGATACTCTCAAGGAAGAATACCAGGGTAGTGACAAGGTACGATATCTGAAATTGCAAACTCTAAGAAGAGATTTGGAAAATATGAAGATGAGAAAGAATCTGAGACCATAAAAGATTACTATACTCAATTAAGAGAAGTATTAAATCAATTAAAAACATATGGAGAAAATATCATTGACAAAAGGGTGGTAGAAAAAATTCTAATTACTCTATCAGCCAAATATGATCCTATCGTCACGACGACAGAAGAAACTAAAGATTTGGATCATTTG